TCTAAGGACAGAAAGAAAAAACTAAACTGCTGGGGGTGAGTAACAAAAAAAAAACTTTGATTCCTACAAAGTTTTAGTTCTTTAAAAATTAGAAAGACAAGCAGGGCCGATTTACCGAATAGGCAAGGTAGGCACGTGCCTAGGGCGCGAGGCAATTGGCTTTTTTGGGGGGCGCCAAAAAATTGGAAAAAAGAAAAAAAATTGTGGCCGTTTTTGCATGCGATCGCGGTAAACTGATAATCCCTTGCGGCCGTGTAGACACCTTAACAGTCTCCCACAATTGCGGCAAGATGTTAATTATTTACCACGGTTGTATATACGTCATCATCGTCCGTCTCCCGCGATCGCGTCAAAGTTCTGACTTTTTCCAGCGGATGTGTGGACTTGATTATCGTCTTCCTTGATCACGGCAATATATGAACACATCCCGCGGTCGTGATGAGATTATCACCGTCTACCGCGAATGAGGCAAAATTGTAATCTTTTCCCGGGGTCGTGTGGACATTATCATCTTCTTGCGTGATCACGATAAAATTCTGATAATCCCTCACAGCCGTGAAGACATCATCGCCTCCCGTGGTCGTGAGGCATTGTCATCCTCTCCCGCCATTGCGGCAAATGGTAATCATCTCCCGCGGTTGTTTGGAGATCATCATCGTCTTTCACGAATGAGGCAAATTTCTGATCTTTCCCGTGATTGAGTGGACATTATCATCGTCTTACGCGATTGCGGTAAAATTCTGATCATCCCTCGCAGCCGTGTAGAGTAGACATCATTATTGTAGCTCCCGCGATCCTGTAGACATCGCAATCGTCCCCCGCTGTCGTGAAGACATCATATAATCGTCTCCCTCGGTCGTGAAGACATCGTAATCGTCTCCCGCGATCGTGAAGACATCGTAATCGTCTCCGCGCGATCGTGAAGACATCGTAATAGTCTCCGCGCGATCGTGAAGACATCGTAATCGTCTCCGCGCGATCGTGAAGACATCGTAATCGTCTCCCGCTGTCGTGAAGACATTGTAATTGTCTCCCGCGATTACGGAAAAATGTTAATAATATCCCGCAGTTATGTGGATATCATTATCGTCTTCCACGATCGTGGCAAATTTCTGACTGTTTTCCGTGGTTGTGTGGACCATGATCATATCCCGCGGTCATTTAGTCATTACCATAGTCTCGCGCGATCGTGGTAAAATCATGATCATATCCCATGGTCGTTTAGACAATATCATCGTATCATGCGATCGCGGCAATATTCTGATTATCCTTCACGGCTCTGTGGATCTCATTATCGTATTGCGCGATCACGGTAAAATCATGATCATATCCCGCAGTCATTTAGTCATTATCATAGTCTCGCGCGATCGCGGTAAAATCATGATCATATCCCATGGTCGTTTAGACATTATCATCGTATCATGCGATCGCGGCGATATTCTGATTATCCTTCACGGCTCTGTGGATCTCATTATCGTATTGCGCGATCGCGGTAAAATCATGATCATATCCCGCGGTTGTTTAGATATTATTATCATCTCATGCGATCGCGGCAAAGTTCTGATCATCTCTCGAGGACTTGTGGAGACATTCCTCGAGACATCCGCCTCCCGTCTCCCGTGGTCACGGAAACGTCACTGTTGTAAATTGACAATTCCAGGTAGAAATAGAAAATTAACACATAATTCCTGGTTCAAAAAATTCACGCTTAGTTCCCGGATTTCCCGGTTGGTGGTCACCCTGTTATATATTGCAAAGGGGCGACACTATTAGTTGTGCCTAGGGCGCTGACATGGTCAAAAACGGGCCTGAAGACAAGACAATTTGTACGTCTCTTTTCTGTTCTAAACCTAATTTTCTATTTTTTGCACTGACTATTGTAATAATTAATTTGATGTTTTTATGAATCTTGACACCTTTGCCACTCCATAACTTTCCATAACCTCTGCCAAATAACTTCATAACTTTTTTGAAACTTAAGCACTCTTTGTGTTTTTATTGCAAAACAATTGTGCTCATTTAATTGCATTGTGCAACTTAGGCCTAAAATATCATATATTAATAGCTTTTAATTGCTTCTGCTTTACCTGCTGTAATTCTTGTAGCTTACAAATTGGCTATAAACTTAGCTTCACATCAAAATAAATTGAATATTGGGATAAGATACCGTAGCGGTACCGTCATGATATGTACATATGTTCGTATGTACATATCAATATATGTACATACATATGTACATATATTGATATGTACATATCAAAGACAGAACTGGAAGAAATCTTCAAGCAACTCCCACCAAAAAACTCTTCAGGCCTAGATGAAATACCGAACAAAATCATTAAATTTTGTAAAAATGAACTGATTTCCCCCCTCCTAAACATCATAAATGCCTCCATTACTCAATCAACAGTTCCTACTGCAATGAAAAGAGCCCTAGTATACCCTAAATACAAAAAAGGAGACGACAGCCTTCCAGAAAACTACCGCCCCATCTCAATCCTCCCAGTTCTATCAAAATACCTTGAAAAAATTATAAACGCTCAATTGGTATCATATTTGGAAAAAAACAGCATTCTAAGCAGCAACCAGCATGGCTTCAGGGAAGGAAAATCGACAAACACAGCTCTCACCCAGCTGTGCAACTCCATTACTGACATCTGGGAAAAAAACAAACAGCAAACGGTATTTTCATTGACCTAGAAAAGGCTTTTGACAGTTTGGACCGCAGGATTCTTCTAAAAAAATTACAAGAGATCAAAATTACCGGAAAAGCCCTCCGCTGGATCCAAAGCTACCTGGAGAACAGAGAACAATTGGTGGAAATAGAATACCTATCGAACAACCACTTAACAAAATACAGATCAAAACTAAAAAAACCATCACCGGAATACCACAAGGATAAGTCCTCGGACCATTATTCTTTCTCATCTACATAAACTGCCTCCCAACACTCCTTCCCCCCCAACTGCACATGCATCATGTTTGCCGACGATACAACCATAATTGCCCCCATGACAAAAGACGCAAATCAAATTGAAAACATAATACAATCAGCCAGTAATATAAGCCAAGACATGAATTTAACCATAAATAAAACTAAAACTGTGCACATTGAATTCAAAGTTAAAAACAGAACTAACGGTAATGAAGTAGCCGCTAGCCCACAAACTGAAAACAACATCTACAGAGCAAACCATACAAAATTCCTGGGAGTTACCCTTGATTCAAATTTAAACTGGCAAAAGCACCTAGAAATTCTACACTCAAAACTATCATCGGCAATTTTCGCAATCAGAAGAATCAGAGAAATCACAAATACATCAATAGCAATAACGGCCTACCATGCACTCTTCTCATCTCATCTCAAATATGGACTTATAGCCTGGGGAGGAGCAGACGAAACCCACCTACAAAAAATCATCACACTCCTTCCAAAAAAAAGCTGTCCGAATCATCGCAAGGGTCGAAAATGAAGAACACTGCAAGCCACTATTTATCCAATATAAGATCCTTACTCTAACCTCCCAATACATCCTTGACACAATCATCGCCATCAAATCAGATCCTCCACAAACCAGACAAGAATGCCATCAATACAATATTAGGTCAGGGACAAATCTCAACCAAGGCCAACACAGACTACACAGAACAAGTAAAACCCCTACATACATGGGAACAACTCTCTATAACTCTCTTCCTCAAAACATAAAATCGATAAACGAAACAAAAAAATTCATCACTAGCCTTAAAAAATACCTCCTGAACAGGCCATACTACAATTTAAAGGAATTCTACAAAGACCACAACAATGTAACACACCTCTAAAATAAATAAAACACACACACTCACACATAAACACACACACATAAATACAACAAACCCCCTCCAAGAAATTGACAACTCTCCGGTCTCCACGACTGCGAAGAGGAGCGCCGATGTAAGATGTAAGATGTAAGGTAGGGTTACCATACGTCCAGATTTTGTCTGAATCTATAGAATAAACAACAGACTAAGTGGCAAAATCGTGGGACGCCACTCCACAGGTAGGCTATCCATAACTTATCGTAGGCCTACTGCAACACTAGTCAGACTCAGATTCAAGAACAAGTAGGCCTACTTACATACTACGATTAGACGACTAGACTGCTGGCGCTCTCTGCTTTGAGGTCACACCTCAGCGCCACAGTGTCTGCGATCACGAAAAGTGGGTTACGTTACGTTGCTAGTAACTTGTCGCATAAATCAGAAAGATTGGGGAAATCAAATTAACGCAGGAGGTAGATCTTGATTTAAAATAGCAATGATTAGCAGACCATGCTTTTTGAACAATGTGAAACATAATATCCAGTCACTACAAGGAAAAGTGTGTATCTTATCAACAATTAGCCTAGTGTATCTTAATGCTTAGGCCTACTTTAATTGAACAGCTAAGTAGTGCATTTTATAAAGATAGGTTAGGCCTAATTAAAAGTGTTATGTCTCGAAATAGGTTAAAACCGGTTTGGCCGATATCCGGAACCGGATCTAGGTATAAGTTATAACTATGGTAACCCAGCCTAGACTAAAAAGTCTAGTAACTTAGGCCCTAGTACATTGGTGGAACCTATCTAGAATCTAGTTGAGGTTTATGTTTAAAAGGTCAGGAGTCATAGGAATTTAGGTACTTTGTATGTAAATAAGTTAAATAGTCAATATTAGTGGCAAAATTTAAAGTAAGTTAGGCCTAATAATCAATGGGATTTATTGAGCAATAACGTAGGTCTAACTCTTAAAACTAAACTAGTGAATGAAAAGTTCAATAGTGTATCAAACTTGTCACATAAATTAACTGTCAAATTCCTCAATCTAGGCCCCAAATTTAATTTTTCTAGAAACAAAGCTTGAAATAATAGGGAAACTTACATTTTTAAGATGAGTAAACAAAAAACAAAACCTTAGGTAGGCCTACTTAACTTATTAGTCATTATCATAGGAACAAGTAACAAATAAAATACACTTACTTTAGTAACAAGTCGAGTAAATCCCAAAAAATTGAAGTTATTTTAGCACATACACATTATGATATTAGTTCAATTAATTACCAGGCACATTAAAATCACAACACTGAAACTGACACTTCGACTTCGAAAACACTGCCTCTTTCTCTTTCCAGGGATTGTGAGGCACGCAGGCAGGCAGACCAACTTCAACTACAAAAATACACTAGCGCTCAGCAGAGCAGAGGAGCAAATAAAATAATCCTCATCGATTATTCTTATGTGGTTGTCTTTGACTTTAACAAACCCATCCAAATTTTAAAACATACTACCAAAGATTACATATGCTACGCGTAGCATATGTAATCTTTGATACTACTTACTTTATATGACTTTATACCATACCATCTTTATTTATACACTTTATACCACATGGCCATATCATACTTTAAATTGTACTAGTGTACACGTTGCTCGAATTCGAGCAATTGCAAAGTATTACAGGAGTTATTTCGAAACGAATAACAGTCATATTTACAATGAGTTCAAAAGAGTCAACTCAAACATTTCCGGTTGGTGTGTAACACAGACCATGTTTATCTTCGTTATTGATAAACCTAAAGCATTCCGGCCGGTTTTCTCCTTCTCAAAATGCCTCGCTGTACAGGCAACACAGGTCATTGATAGAGGGCCAATTGAGAACAAAAAGTCGTTTTGGGGTAGTGTTAGGGTGCATTTATAACTTAATAGTTGAGATTGTCCAGGGTCAGGGGTCAGGTGCTGACTTGATGAGTTAAGCCTATTACGCGCCACTGTTCTGTAGCTACGGTCGTTATCACGATTACACATCCTGTCTATGTTTCGTTGTCTTCACGTCGTAGGCATTTAAAAGAAAAAAAAACAACAATTAAACACATTATAGCTACACAAAACAACGATAAATGCACAAATTTGAGATACAACCATACTAACACGATCCGTCTTGGGGGTTATGTTTACACAAACTCAAATACTGTAGTAAATAAATGTACTCAATTCGTTTCATTGGATTGAAAAATAAAATAAATAACAGCAATTAAATTATACAGCTGATCAAAATGTAAACAATTGTGTTCTCCATAAGGATAACATGGGAACTTTCAAAGCCAATGGGGCAGAGGCCAAGGGACTTTTTCAAAAATGTAAGGCCAGTTTGCATTTTGCAAATCTACGCGACACGCTCTTTCCAATGAGACGTCAATGGATAAAATCGGTTAAGAAATGGTGGAGGAGTTCAACCGACAAAGTTTCATGTAGCGTATTAATTATATAGATTGTAATACAATTATAGTAACAAAGTCATTGAATTTTAAACATTTTATAAGGCAACGGTTTTGAGGTAGAAACTACACAATATTTATTTTCATTATTCAAGAAAGATCTAACTAAAATTTCTGTATAGACTAATTAACTTAATCAATGGCATTAATATATTTAGGTCTACTGTAATTTGGGGTATGATAAAGGTTGAGTATTATCATTATCATTGACCATTAAGCACTAACCATATATCCAAGCATATACAGGGTGACAAAAAAGTCTGGAAACGGTTTAATATCTTTTTAACTAAATTCGTTAGAAAATTCAAACCTTTTACATCAACTTATAATTTCCATGTAATGCTTCATTAACTTAATTTCCAGTTAATGAAGATTTCGTTAATGCTTCATTTGAAGCAAGAGCCATCTGACAGCTAGACAAAATTACTATCTTTTGTCTTGGTAGTGTCTGGCTAATCCTATTGGCACAAGCTAAGATGCCACAGATTTTTTTTACCTAAAAAAAATAGCACAGTATTGTCAAAGACTGGCAAAAAGTTCTATTCTGGGCGATTAACTGTATACTACGAAGCCTGGTTTTCCATCGATGAGGGAGCCATATGTGTACCAAAGGTCTCTCTGGTTCTGAGATAACCTTCCTTATGTTTCCATCCATCCCTGATGAGGAATTCAAGAGAGAAGGGATTGTTCATCAACTGCATCTGTGTAATCAGGACGTCTGAGCTGAGGTCATGTCAGGCACATGACACGCAGCCACAGTTTTGGCAATGGCACAGTGGTGCCCCATATAGGCCTTCCAACCACAGAATTATAAATTTCAAACGGTAAGCTGCATTGAGGGCTTCAGCATTAATGAAGATGTCCAGGGGTAGAAGCCCAAGAATAACTTCTAGAGTTGCTGATGGACTGCTCCTGAAGACATCAGTCATTTGAAGCTTTTCAAGCCTTTGAAGTCTTTCTAATTTGGCTATGACAGTTACCTGATTCACTTTTGTCCACTAGACAAGCGAACCAAATAGGTAAATTGAGGCCTCACCACAGACTCATATAGGTAGCCAGAGTGCTGTGTGGGGTTTAATTGTGCAAGTGAAGTGGTTCCTGAAAATCTCCTGGACATCATGAGCCCCCATTTGGCCTTATGCAGTGCGTTATTCAGGTGGATTATTCCACGTCAGCTTGGAGTCAAGTGTCAGTCCAAATTCTTCTGAATTTTAAGTTTTTTTTCTGGAATACCTGATAAATAAATAATATATTTACTAAGCAAAATTTAACACAATCGGGATGAGGAAAATCATTATTTAAACACATTTTCATAAATTTAATTTAATTTGTAATACGAGATTTGTATACAATGATAAACATAATTGCCAAGGAAACTTATTTGTTTCTAAAATAGATCCCAAACTATTATAAATTTGGTTGTCTAAAAGTGAAATATATTAATTTATATAATACTCAAGATAGACCAAGAAATAATAGGTTTAGTTCAATATAAATTACTAAAATATTAATAAGCAGTACCTACTCTAGCAAGTATCCTCATTTTAGAACAGAATAAGTTAAAAGTAATACTCGGTGTACGGTATACAGAAAGAAAATGACAAATAATTACAAGAGCCAAACCACTTGTCTTAAAATTTAAGACATTGTACATTTAATGTACAAAATAATAAATTAGTAAATTGGTAAAACTAACACTGGTGGTTCCAAACTAAGTATCAAAACAACGTATTTTCAAACAATAAAAATAAATGTTGATGTTTATTACAGCTTGATTTTAAACCAAACCTTTGAGTTTGAATTAAATTGCCTGATATACCGGGTGTCCAAAACCACCCGCACACCCCTTTAAAAATGAGGGAAACCTTTTCTTACAAACAACAAATAATACAGAACTAGATAACTTGGGCACGGTCTACCAAATGGTGATATTTTCAAATCCAAAATCACACCGGAAGTGGCCTTTTCAGACCGGAAGTTGACTTTTTAAAATATAAACTAGCAATTTTTATTACAGAATTGGATTCTACGTTTAAAAATACATAACTTTTGTCTAAAACATTTTTTGAAAAAACTTGTTTTCTACCTCTAATCCCCCAATAAAGGCAATAGTTTTGAGTCATTCACCTGTCAAAGTTACTCTAAACAATAATAGAGGAAAACAAATCATAAAGATTACATAAAGACATATGATGAATAGAATCAGCTGTTTATTGTAAACACCTTAGTAATTGAGTAACAGCTGGTCAACACATTGCTTAATTTAATTTTTGTTTAAATCATTTGTTTTTACATTTGACCATTAAATGTAAAAACAAATGATTTTTTATTTTTTTTATAAAATGATACTAAGCAATGTGTAGACCAGCTGTTACTCAATTACTATAGTGATTACAATGAACAGCTGATTCTATTTATCACATGTCTTTATGTAATCTTTATTATTATTTTTTCTCTATTATTGTTTCAAGCAACTTTGGCAGATGAATAACCCAAAATTATTGACTTTAATAGGGGATTAGAGGTAGAAAACTAGTTTGTTCAAAAAATGTTTTATACAAAAATTATGTATTTTTCAACGTAGAATCCGATTCTGTAATCAAAATTGGTAACATTTAAAAAAATCAACTTCCGGTCTGAAAAAGCCACTTCCAGTGTAATTTTGGATTTGAAATTATCACCATTTGGTAGACCACCCAATTTAGCTAGTTCTGTATTATTTTTTGTTTGTAAGAAAATGTTTCCATTGTTTTGAAAGGGGTGTACGGTGGTTTTGGACACCCGGTATATACTGTGTAAATATTAAAATAGTATTTTTTGAAGGACGGCTGGATTACCGGTTGTAGACTTTAGACTAAGAGAATTTATTGTATAATAAATGCAGAAATAAAATGATTCTGAATACAAATACTAAGAACTTTTTAATAGAGCTTAGCTTAAAACTAAATAAACAACAAAATCTTATATATTGAAAAATTTAGTTTTTCTTTTTCGAGTTTGCTGGCTTTTCTACCTGTCCGATTTTCATGATTGAGGTCGCAAATTGAAGGTATGCACGCACAGATTTCACATCAAGCATCAGCATATATAAATCTATAGTCCCACTGGGCTTATACGTAAACGCAATTTGCTCCCCACGTATTTTTTAAGGAAGTTAAATTTGGGTTTTTCTTTTCCGAGTTCATTTAGCTCTTCTATCCAACCGATTGTCATAATTGAGGTCTCAAATTGAAGATATTCAAGCATAGATTTCACATCAAGCATTGGCATATATTTATCTACTGATTTACTCAACCAAAATACATAAATTTTTGAATGCTTACTTCAATTTAAGATGTATTTCACCAATAATAATTGTATAATCATATATATTTTTAACCTTCAGTGAAATACCGGCTTTCATTTAAGCTATTAGTTATTCAAATCGGACGGGTTACAAGCAAACACAAGGTGATCAACCCAATTTAAAATTATTTTTATAAGGTTTTTCTATGATTTAAAATCAATAGCTCCAGTATTGATGGGTCACCAGAATTTTATCCCCCTGGAATTTTACCCCCTGGGCAAACCTGACGTCACTATGACGTAGTAACCTGAGCGCTCTAAACTTTGTTCGTGGGCGGAATTTTACCCCAGTGGATTTGGAAGTCTAATGAAAATAAGACAGATGTGATAAATTAGATTAGCAATAAAAACAGAAATTGCTCCCTGTCCATATAACTAGCGTTTAGACAACTGTAGATATACGGCCCAGATTTTTACCCCCCAGAATTTTACCCCCAGATTTTTACCACCCGGAATTTGCCCCCTGGCCAAATATAGAAATTATTAAGAATAATAATTTTC